TAGAAATAATCATTACATTTACCACAAGGAGGCAAAATGACATATTTGATAGAAATCTGGCCTTGGAGTCAAGAAGACATGGGTTCAAGTTCTGTCTCTAGTATACTCTGATGGTGACACTCTACCTTGGTAAAGGATGTTTATTTTTAAATTTTTATTCAGAAATCTCTACAGCAAAGAAACCTTGGGTGTGGTCCAGAAATGGGACTGAAGGGTACCCCATTGACTCATCTTTTAAAAGTGGTATCTAATAAATACATTTAGGTGCATTGAAAAATACGTATTAGCAGCATTTGCATAATTAAGAAGGTTACTGATCTTTCGAAATGACATCATTTGCAATCACATCAAATGAAATTTGAATTCACAGATCAGGAATGCTAACAAACCTCTTGAACATTGTGATGTATATGGAGTATGACTCAGTGACATTTCCCACCTGTGTGTAGCTGGTACAGTGGCAAGAAAATTGATTCATGACTTGTCTACAATAGGGGGTGTCAATAAAATAACCCAATCACCACAAGGTCAAAACTTGGAGTTATCTGTGGCTCTTCCCTTTCCACCATATTCTATCAATTACCTAGTCTTAGTGATTCTGTTTCCACAGCAATTTTCTAGCTGTAGTCCTCTGCTCTCCATTCACCTTAATTCAAGCCTTCAACAATTCTTGCTTTGACTCCTGTAAAAACCTTCTATTTGGTCTCCTTGCTTCCAAGCTCTCTCTTCTCCAATACTCCATCCAGTTTACTAAATAATCTTCCTAAGGCACAGATTCTCCAAAATAGTGTAAAATGGATAGTTTCTATTATTTTAAATTAAAAATTTATGGTATAAATAAAACCAAATGTAACCAAGAATAGAAGGAATACATAAAATTGGGGGGAAACTTTTATAGACAATCTCTCAGACAGGATATGATTGAGTTGGAATATTGCTGTGGTGTAGGAAATGAATAGCTGGTTAATATAGTAAAACATGGAAAGACTTAGACTTATTAAGGAAGATGCTATCCACCTTCAGAAAAACAGATGACAAGTAAAAATATGCATAGTACAGTTTTACATGTGTGTGTGAGTGTATATATGTGTATGTTTATCTCTCTCTCTATATGTGTGTATATATATATATATATATATATATGAGTTTAATTGTAGCCTTCTTGGGAGGAGAAGGGAGGGAGTGGAAAACAAAGTAAAAAATGCATAGCAGAGAGCAAAAGAATACCTATAAAGAAGCAAAGAAAAGCTGGGTAGCTTTGAAAACAATGTGCAGTCCATTTTTTGAAATGGAAATTTATTGTTTTATATTGAATCTTCTCTTATGTTCTGCTGTGTACATGGCAATGTTCTTTTTTTCTTTTCTCATTTTGTATTTAAGTTTAATATGAATAAAAAGATTATCAAAAATTTTGATAGTTCACCATTGCCTGTAGGATAATTTTTTTAAAATCTCCCTAGTTAAATGCCAAGGCATTTAATGTCCTCTACAATCTGGCTCCCACCTACATTTCCAGCTTTATATCATATTACTACCTTTAACCAACCCTATATTTCAGTCAAACAAGACTACTAGATGTTTTCCCCAAACTTGAGTTTCCATCTTCTGGCTTCCCTGAGTTTGCACAGGACATTCCCCATGCCTGAGATGCTTCCCAGAATCCTTGTTTTCCTTCAAGGCTTGAGACAGGTGGCACTTGTTCCATGAAACCTTCCTTGATCCCCCTCCTTATCCCCACCAGTTAGTACTCCCTTCCTCCTCAATTTTCCCTGTGAAGTACTTTCTGTAGAAACAGATTCCCTACCCTGTAGAAAATTAGTTCCTTTAGGTTAAGGATCATTTCAGTTTTGTCTTTATATCTCTAGCATCTAGCACCATGTCTTCCATGTAGTAGTTCAATGTTCATTGAACTGAATTGAGCTGTATCTAAAGCTAATGACTTTTTTTTTCTGTTTTGGTGACAGAGATCTAGGAAAAGGCAAAGTTTTTTCTCTGCATTGATACAAGAAAGCAATAATTTCACTTTCCAAAGGTGAAACATACAGGAAAGGACTCAGAGTACATTTATTCCATGAAGGAAACTGGGGCCACAAAAGTTATTTCTTTTTTTTTATTATTTCTCTCAAGACGAAGGATATAGTTACTAGAACTGGGACTAGAAACTGGGTTTCTTATCTCCCAATCCAATGTGATTTGCTTTAAGACATTCTGCCTCTCTTGTACCATATTATGCAAGAGTCTAATGAAGTACCATTTTTCCACTCTCTTGATGACTAGAGAAGAGGAACACTGAAATAATAACCAGAATTTGGGAGTGAGCCCGTGTTACAAAAGCCATGGAATACTAACATACCTGTAAAACCATACAGATGGTGCAGCAAATGTGGCCTCAAATATTAGGCAATATATAAAAAAAGTTTTATTTCTAAATGCAATTTTTAGAGAGAAATCCTCTGAGATGCTAGGTGTGACTGAGAATTGTGACTGTGAGTGTCTGAGGAATTCAATCTACCTCAAGGATATTTAAATAGAGTCCTGACCAGTGAATACTCCAAGTCCCCAAGAAAGTATCATTGGACCTAGAAAGGCAGAAAAGGTCATGGAAATGGAAATCAGTTTCTGCTGGAAATGCTTACCTTTAAGTTGAGGGTTACAGAAATCTATATTTCCTTAACTTTTCTCCCCTGGTTTCCCTTCCCCTTTCACTCCCACTTCCTGTTACTACTGTTATGCTGAATGAAAAGGAAGGGCTCTTCTCACTATATAGATATCCTTGAGCTGGGATAGGGACCTAGGGAATCTGCCTGTCATTGATAAAGGTCAAGGGACATTCTCTGATAATCACTCTGGACCCTGAGCAGTGGAGCTGTGCACACAGGGCCAGAGTCAGGGATGGGTGGGGCAGTGGGCCCTGGGTGAAGAATGAAAAGAACTGGAGGGGCAGTTCTCAATATTCCTCAAACTTTGTTCACCAAGGGGAAGCAGTTTCTACATTCAGGAGGAGAGCTTCCTGAGTGAAGTCAGTGCAAACAAAACCAATTAAACACCTGTTCCATTCCACTAAATGTTATCACATACAAAATGGCAAACACAGAGTCATTTATTTATCTAAATAATGGAGCCTTTTATGCATGCCCCATGCTAGAGTTTGTGTATCATGTGTGTGTGTGTGTGTGTGTGTGTGTGTGTGTGTGTGTGTGTGTCTGTATATTCTGCGGAATGGAGACAGAATTGATGTTCAATAAATAGCACAGCTTTCCTGCAGAAGAAAGGACTAGCTCCAATTGTGTATCCTCAAGTCCTACAAAACAAGATGAAAAGAGTGATCTCGTATTTATCTCACCTACTGTGCAGAGTCCTTGTTCCAGGGTCTGAGCCTGGGGATAGGCAAGGACTACTAAAGGAATGGAAGAAGATATAGTAAGTTCTGTCTCTGAGGAATTTACATCCTAGTTCCTCCTACTTGGTCCCCTAGGCTGCCATGCATAAGGTCCCTGAAGGGGAAAGACACCCTCACCAAAAGAGAAGATGCCATCAGAAAGAAGAGGAACATTTCTTTCCCCATCTCTCCCATTAAGCAGTTGCTCATTTCTCTGTTTTAAGAACTACATCAAAATCCAACTCCTGAGCCTAGGACTCAACTTTGTGTTTCCTCTCATAGATGCTAGTTATTTCTCTGTACTGTGCCCATAACACCTCCTTGTCCCTCCACATAATGTTCTCCACCCAAATTCATACCTTGTGCTTCAGGTTGTCATCATACTAATATCCCCCCAAGAATCCTAGAGGAAGAGATGAACTACCTCGGAAGGCAATCAGGCAATTTGCCCTATGGCTTACATGGGGTATATGGGGTAACCAGAACTTTCTGTATTTTCCCAGTTGCCTAAGAAGAAACAAGAGCAGCTTGCCACTCCTAGAGTCTCTATCTAGTGACTTGGCATCTTGGAAAAATACCCAGTTTTCACTGTGGAGATAGGCCAAACCTATATTGGAGAGAAAGTTGTAACCAATTTGGAAGGGGCTGTTAAAAACTTGGCTAAGTCCCCCCCCCCCCCCCCGCCCCCCGCCTTGACCTTCCTCACCTTTCTGGAGGCTGCACGCTATTTCTCCATTCTTTGGCAGTTGATTTGAGGGGAAGGGCTTCTCCATTAAGGGCAGAATAAAGTCTCTGTCTATGGTGATAAATGACAGCAAGCGTTCAAAGTCTAATCCTTCAGAGAAGCTGCCCCATCAGAGGCTTTGACTTCAGGCCAAGGACTTTTGGAAGAGCTTGGTACTCAACTGCTGTCTTCTTATTTTTCTCCCCTTTCCTGCCCTCCCCCTATCCTAATCTGAAAACAACAGACTTTCAGGGGAAGGTAGAGGAGTTGGTTTTTGTGGAAAGAACCCCAGCTGAAAAGTGTCTCCTTGCCTGGGGCCTAGGGACAGGCCCCAGAATCACTGCCTGTCATCATTAACAAGAATAACAATATTGCCATGGAAAAAATAACATGCTAGGTGCAGACAGGACCAAAGTGTGTGTGTGTGTGTGTGTGTGTGTGTGTGTGTGTGTGTCTGTATTTGGAGGGAAGGGAGACTCAGGGCCTCTTTCTTTTTAATGTCTTCAGGAAAACAAAACCAAAATACAATACATTCATGTAAATGTCGAAAGCCACGGTACTATATAAAAAGAGAAGATCTACTTCCAATAGGGGAGGGAGAGGGTTAATCCATCCCAGAGACAGAGAAGCAATGGGTTCATTCTCTTCAGGATGAAAACACTTGGGTTGTGACCTTCATTACCACCACCACCCCCACCACCACCACCACCCCTACCCCCACACCTGGCCCAGGAGGAAAGCACAAGAGAAGTAACAAGGCATACTACAGAAAAGTTGGAAAAAATGTTTTATTTTGAAATACAGTTCTTAAAGATAAATTTGATTTCTATTTTCCTTGTCCAGGTGCATTTGACAAGATACCACCAAAAAAAAACAAAAACAAACACAAAACCCCAAAACACAACTGCACAAAAACCCCAAGAAACAACAAAACAATCCCCCTCACTTATGTACAGAGCTCTAAAATGAGCTGTGAATATCTACAAGAGACTAGCATATGCTCTTTGTGTAGGGGTGTGTGTGTGTGTGTGTGTGTGTGTGTGTGTGTGTGTGTGTGTGGCTTTCTATAGTGTGAGTCCGCCAGAAGAGTTATCAGCTCCTTGGAGCTGCAGGTGCAGCTGCAGGGGGCCAGTTGGGGTCAGTCGGGAACAGGTCGGCCCGAGGAGGGCCTGGCGGGGTGGGGAAGGCAGGCAAGGGTGGGGGGGGGGGGCAGATGCTTGGTTTCTCTAGAAGTCCTGCCGAGGAGTGTGGGTCAGACTGTGCCGCCGCAGATCACAGTTTCGCCTGAACACTTTGCCGCACTGCTCGCAGTTGTAGGGCTTGATGTCTGTATGGGTGAGAAGGTGAGTTTTCAGATTACTTCTCTGATTAAAGGTTCTTCCACATGTGGGGCATTTGTGTGGAGATTCCTGTTCAGATGTGAAGCAAGCAAAGGATTAATCCTTCACACCACCACTGTGCCCTTCTCTTATCTGCAGCACTAATATTACACAACCACACACAACTACAATGCCCTCCCCTCTATGCCCTCCCCTCTCTACCTCCCACCCTCCGGCAACTGGGGTGGGTTTGGGGGAGCCTGCATAGACAGATCCGCGCTACTCAATGCTCCAGCGGGGAATACACACAGGCGCCCTCCCGGTACACGCCTGACACACTGGCATAGCTGATAACTGCACGGGCACATCCCTGAAAGTTCGAGTTTGCGCTTTCCAACTCCTTACGTGTCATCGCTGTGTCAAACACAGAAAGAAAAGGGCCAGGGGCTGAAAGGGTGGGGCTGGGGGGAGTTCTAATGTTCGATTAAGGTATTCCTCTCTTCAGACTAGACAGATCAACCGCTATTGGTGGTCAATGCAAGAGGTTCTACAAGGGAAATGGGGACTGGGAGTGCCAGTGTAGACGAGACTGCTGCTTTTTCAGAAATTACTTTGTGTTGCTTTCAAGCATAAAATCCTTAAATTCAAAATAGGAGGGAGTAGGATGGGAAGGGGATGTGGAGAACGAATAGTGGTGTTTGCTGCTGCTAATTACCAGGAATTAAATTATGAATAGGACTTCTACAGCTGTTCCCTAGAACCAGAAATATTTCGAACATAAAAAGAGGAGGAAGAACAATCATTCTCCTCAGTGAAAACCAGCAGGGAAAAATATGGCGCCTCTCCAGTCAGAGAACAAATATGAACTCAGACTTTAAAAGCAGGCCCTTGGCTACTTCTTGGAAAACAGACACGAGAAAATGAAATAAAAGTTTCTTAGATAAGGAAACGAGCTTACCTGCATGTGTAAAGTTTTGTGAACCGCCAGAGTTCTAGACTGACAAAATCCTTTCCCACATTCCTGACATTTGAAGGGTTTTTCTTTGGAATGGATATACCTGAAAATTGATATAAGGATTCAGTTATATAGCTTGGATGAACGTTATCACCTTCCAGAAGCATTTATGGATAATTACTTAAAGGAGAACAAGGAGAGGACAAAAGTAAATTGGCTCTTCTTTCTTTCTTTAGATTTTCCCCCCTTGTGTAATTCTGTTTATGGTTAACCTCATGTAACAGACTCTTCAAACCAGGCACAGCGCCGACTTATCTACACTTGATCGCCCTCTCTGGTGGTGCTTTGGTTCGAGATCTCGAAAAAACGGGAGGAGTAAGCACTTCTCTGGTCTCTTACTATTAGGTTTTTTGTTTTTTGTTTTTTTAAACCAGGGACTTAAACTGGCCAAATCAGGATGTTAATGCAAGGCTGAGTTAGTGGAGAACAGACTTCAACAAATCCCTTAACAGCCCAGGAGAAGAGGTTTTGCAACCTTCCAGCTGTGGGCTTTGGAGAATCTTCAAGGAATTCTGATTTCTATTCTGGGGGACAGTGGGGGAAGAAGATAGGGGAAGAACCTTGAGCCAGGCATAGCCTATTACGAGGTATAACAATAATAGTAGCCAGGCGGGATTTGATGCTGGGGTGCAGAGGTGACCAGCTTTTTCCAAACATGCCTGCCTCATTTAAGGAGGAAAGGTCCCGGGAAACAAAGGTTAAATTAAATAGCGCTGCTGCAGCAGCCAGAGAGGTGTTGGGGCCCCGGCATGAAATCTTCTTTGCCTCTGGAATGAGCGGTGAGTGGGAGGAGGGAGGAATTTAGGGACCCTGGGGCTGGCAAGCAGAGATGCCCTGAAAGGGAAAGGCAGCTCTGGGAAGACGAGACTCAGGCAGCTGAACATAGGAAAAGGTGCCCAAGTCCCTCCACCTGGCCTGGAAACCCAGACCAGTGTTGGAAACCAGAGAGCACAGGAAAACCTCAGAACACCTGGCTCTCCGTACACTCGGATGAGGAACTTGCATTGCTTTTCCCCCGAGAAATAGGGCTGTACTTCTTTAGACAGGAGAGGTATAAATTTTGGGGGAGTTGTATGTAATTTCCTCAGCATTCCTTGGCTGGGGGCAAGCCTCCAGTCACACGTTTTCCTGCAACAGAATGAGCAGTCTGGGTTGGTGAAAGGGGCACTTGAGTTTCAGGCACTTTCTCTGTCCTTTCTTGGGCCACTTTTCTGTCCACTCCCTAATCTACCAAAGGTGAGTTGGGAAGCTCACCTGTGATCCCTCAGGTGATCTTGCCTCCGGAAGGCCTTGTGGCAGATGTCGCAAGTGTAAGGCCTCTCGTCCGTGTGGGTTCTCTCGTGAATGAGCAAGTTGTAGGATTTGGTAAAGTGCCTGCCACAGAACTTGCAGATAAATTCTTTTTTCGTTTTGGAAGGCAACCTCCCCCGAGAGGGTTTTCTGTCCGGAGTCAATTTACTGATGCCCGAGATGGGGCTGCCCAGGCCCGGGCTCAGCTTGGTCAGGTCCATTTTGGGGGGGTCCTCCTGCGTGGCGGCCACGGCCAGGTTGGCAAAGTCAAAGCGGGGCCGGTCCTTGTGCAGGGCCGGGAGGACGTGGGCAATGGCCCCCTGTTTGGGGTGGAAGAGGTGGGTGGCGAAGGGCAGGGCCGGGAAGGGGAAGCGGGCGTCCACCAGGCCCTGCGCCGCAGCCATCTCCGTGATGGTGGAACGGGTGATCTCATGCATGTTGGGGTAGCCTAGCGTCCAGTGGTTCATGTGCATGGTCTGCACAGCGCTGAGCCCGTACAGGCCCTGCAAGTGGTCCACGGCGGCCGGAAAGGTGTTCACAGCCTGGAGGAAGGAGTAGTTGGTGAGTTGCAGCGAGGGGTGGAGAGGGATAGGCGCGGGCAGAGCCTTGCTCCCCATCTTCCGGACTCGGTGGGTGCAGAAGGTTCTGCCCCTTTCTTCCAGGACTAGGGGCTCACGGGGATAGTCGGAGGCAAACCAAAGAGGCTGACGCCGAGGAGATAAGACCCTACAAGAGGAGGAAGGAGAGAAGGAAGAGTAGAGAGAGCCATGAATGTTTATCCAGACGGATTTGGGGAGCACATTAGACTCGGCGCTGGCTCGAGACCCTTCCCTCGGTCCATTGTTCCCTACTAACCTCCCATGGAGTGAACTCTAGGGAAATATGCACAGCCCCAGTTCAGTTACTGGGTTCGATTCCCAACCCGATTCGTCTGAGAAAAACAAACAACAAAAACATCACCATCAAGGAAATGAGGAAGAGGGGGAGAGGAGCGTCTGGGCTACTTACTAGTCCAGCGAATTTAGATAAAGGTCGGCCCTCGCGCTAGGAGGCAAAAGCGCACCTACCCAGAGAAAGAGAAGCCCTTACCCATCCCCTCCCTCAGTCTCCTTTCCCCTAGCAAAGGCTTTCAGGTCAAACGATATTTTCCCGTCAACAAAACCTATCACTTTCTGAACTAGGGTACTTGCCCTGTAAGCTCTGGACCCGGATCCATCGGAGCACCGGGTAAGTGAAGTCTCTGCCACAGCTACTGTCTCTTCTGTGGGCCTCTGGATAGTCAGGCCAAGACTGGGGTCCAGCAGACTAGGCCTCTGGACAGATAGTTTGCCTTAGGGTCTTCCTCTTCCCTCACCCCAACTCACAGCCACCTCAGTCAATTTCTCAGTTCCAGGAGGAGGCCACCACCGTTTTCCTGCTAGACCCAGAGAGCACTGCTAGAAGTGTGTGTGGCGGGTGGAGCGAGATGTGGCAAATGTAGAAGCAGCTATCCAGGTTTTTCGGGTGGGTGGTGGGGCCTTTTCTCCTTCCACCCCGGTCACAGACTTAGGACACTTATTCTCTGATCTCAAAGCCTTAATTCTCTCTTCCCTTCACATTAACCCCATTCATCAGGAGTGAAGTGCTGAAGGAAGGGTGACACCTCGCCTGAGCTTCTGGGTTTGGCCCCCAACTTCCCCCCTCCCCCGCTGCAATCCTCCACTATTCATTTCTCCCTCCCCCACTTAAGATCCCTTCCAGATGGTCGGGTAGTAGCCGGGGAGAGGAGAGAGTAGTCTAAGAACTTTCTTCCCCCAGATGGGAGAGCTGACCTCCCAGCTTTTCCTAAGCCTTGAGGGATTCCCTCAGCTAACACCTATTCTTCCTAGTCCTTCAGAAGAGACTTCATTCTAGGTGGCCTAGAGCTTGACCACTGGGAAGAAGACTTTTTTTTTCATGTCTTCCCCTTCCAAGTCCTCACCTTCTTTTCTGATCCCAACAAGGCCTGAAAGGTCTGTTCTCCAGGGAGGAAAACTAGAAGGTACTTGTAGGAGATAATGCAAAAGGATGAAGGGTGCTTTGAACAGGTTGGGGGTGGTGGTGGTTGTTAATGCATTTATTTGCTCCAAGGCTGGCTGCTGTAAGACTAGAACAAGAAAGTGCCTATCAGCTGTCCAGGTCTGAAGCCTGCCAAGATGGGGAGCTGAGAATTTTATCTCCCCATTTCTCCCATCTGCCACACTTCCTCCTCACCCCACTCACTTTCTCTTCAGTTTTTCAAAAAGGTTAGTGAAGGTTGAATGGCCTTTCAGACTCACTCTCCCAAGGGCATCTCCCAAAGCTTCACTTGCAATTTGGGGGATATATATTCTTCTATACCATTTGTATTAGCTAGGGTTTTCTAGTTCCTGTAACTAAATTGGTAGCCTGTGTTAGAATCAGAGATGAGGGGGGTGTGTGTGTGTGTGTCTGTCTGTGTGTCTGTGTGTCTGTGTCTCTGTCTGTGTCTGTGTCTGTGTCCATGTCTGTGTCGGTCTCTATGTGTTGTCACAAGCAGCTAGGAGATTTTCCCCATAGAAATAGGCCTTAAAAAAAATCAGCTTCCACCCATAACACTCTCGACTTTGAGTTTCTACTCCCCCTAAGAAGCTAGGAGTATTCTCCCATTCTGTTGCTTTTTCCTCCTTCCTCCTAATCGGGATCTGATTTTTCATCCTTCCAATCTGTGAACAGTTACCCTTTGGCATGTATTTGAGTGCAAAGTGTGTAGGGGTGGGGGGAGAGTTAATACATAAAAATAAAACCCTCTCAAGGGAGGAGAATTTGGCTCCTTCATCTAGGCCCACACTTTCTCTGCCCTCTTTCCCTGCCCTGAGACAGGGATTTATTAATGAACCAGCGTCTGCCTAGTGGTATGTGAGCTGGGAGTGCAGGCAGGGAGTTAATGAGAGGTGTGTGACAGTCAGAGGATTTCACTCAGACCATTCAACCGAAACTATAAACCTCTCTTTATAATAAACTTTCCCACCACTAATCACTCTCCATTTTTGATTAGGGACAATCCTTGAGGCCACCCCCATAGCTCTAGGAATATTTCTCTTGCAAACAACCCTGGAAATCTATTCCTTATGGGGGCCCTGTGCATTGTTTATTTTTTTGTCTTTAGGTCATCTAAAATTTTACACTTCAATCCTTTTAATAGCTGAGGATTTCATTGCTTGTAGATTAATTAAAGTGATTTCCCTTCTCTTATTACTGAACCACTGACATTTTATCCAAAGACAGGGAACATAAATTGGGTATTTCAGTTTATTTCCTGACTTCTTTTCTTAGAAATAAACACAGGAGGCAAAGTACAACCACCATCATATCCCAGGATTGGGGGCGAAGGGCGAGGAAGGGAAATCCAGGACCTAGGATCTCGTTTCCTAAAGCGTGAAACTAACGTCTGCCTTAAAGGTTAAATGTTAATTCTCCAGTCAAAAAGCTAAGTGCTCCGTTCCTCCTGGCTCTCCTAAGGGCTTAGAACGTAGAAATTCCCGAATGGGTATTACAGTTAAACCTAAAGGTCGCACAAAAGGACCTGCCTTTTCTAAGTAATGTGTGTGCTTTGAACTGCATTGAAGAGCCGCTTTCTTTCTTTACAGGGGAAAAGCCATATTCGATCCCTTATGGAAAATACAAAACAAAACAACCCCCAAAATATCTCCCAAATACTGTCTCCATAAATAGCTAGGGAGTTTGGGCTTCCACTAGCCAGCTGAGCTGCTGGATATATATGTCAAAAGATATTTTCGCTCAATGCCCAGATCTGAAGGTAGTTTCGTTTTGTCTTGTCTCCTTCACGACCTTTACATGTATTTGCCCCTGCCTCGGTCAAGAACACCAGCGATCAAAGCCATCCTGATGTCTCCTCCACCCAGCTCTGGATAAGCTGCTACTTTTAATTTTACAGTTGAAGTGAAAAACTATGGAAGAGAGAAAAAAAAAAGTCCTGACTACTTCAGTGGCAAGGGGACCAGTCCTCCCTCACCAGCCTACTTTACAGGAATTTCCAGTTATGTCTAGCAGTTTTTAAAACTTCGTTCTGTGTCTGTCAACAAGTGAAATGTTTACTTATTAATTGAAGTTTCAGCGAAGCTTTGGCAACATTTGAGTAAACCCCTCTCCCCAAACACAACAAACATCTCAACAAAACAAAGCAAAAATAAAAAATTAAATTAAATTAAAAAAGCTAAAGTGACCAGAGGTGACTTGATGAGGACTTTGTGTACGCTAGGATATATAATCTTAAGAATGATACGCATGCAGCCCCCATCCTTCCCTAAAACGGCTACATTTCCATCTGCGGCTGAAATTCAGCCTAACAGGGTTTCCCATAAATCAGCGGGCAGTTGTCGAATTGCACCTGATGCGGTTGTTTTGTTTGAAATTAAAAACAACCAGAGCAGACCCGATGAAAAACAGAAGAAATCAGATGAAAGTTTGATTTTTGTTTTTAAAGTCGCCTCCTCCCAAGCAGGTGGGAATCACCGCCAGCCACGCTGTAGCTCCCTTTGCCACTCCTAACCGCCTCTCCTTTCCCGAGGAGTTAATTAAATTAAGATGCTTTCGGCATACTCCGTGTTCTGTTACTCTTTGCTCTCACTCGCTGGCCCTGTTCCTGAGCGAGAAGAGTGATTTTCTTGTTCCTGTTCGGGTGGCAGTTACTTTAGTGGGGTTGGGGGTGGGTGGGTAAGAGAAAGAGAGCTGGCTAGTTGCCTGTAATCTTTCACGTGGGGAAGTGCCAGGAGTCTTCTGTTCTCCGAGAAACAGGTAGGCAGACATCCTACCTCGAACTCTCTGCACTGACACTCCCCCCCACCCCCCATCCTTCTTCTGGAAACCAACTTCACATCCTCAGCCGTGGCGATTTATTGCTTATCCAGACACTTACAGCACTCTGGGTTTCTTTCCTCCTTTTCCCCAACCCCCACCACGGGCACTGCAGGCATCAAGCACATGGTTGTAGGTTTAACCAAGGTTTGGCTAATATTATTTCATCCTTAAAACATTCCTTGCCCGTAGTCAGAAAGAGTGGGTATTGTGGATCAAAATCTCTATTCTGTGCTCTACTCCTGACTCTGGAAGTGGAGGTTGATTTAGGATATCTAGTCCTGGGGCAAAAATCATTTGGGGATTTAGGAGAAAGAGAAGGAAACAGACAGAAGTACAGAACAGGAAAGAGAGAGATAGAGGAAAAGATAAAAAAGAAGGTAAGAAGAAAATAAGGAAGAGGGAAAGAGGGTGGGAGACAAAAAGAGAGAAAAGAGAGCGACAGAGATAGTCAGGGAGAGGGAATGAGAGGAAGGATAGAGAAAAATAGAGGAAAGAGGATAGAGAAAAAAGAGGAAGAAGAGATGAGAGAAACGGGGAAAAGGAGAGAAAAAAGGGGAAGAGAAAACAGAGAGAAAGGGAAACATTGAGAAGCGCAAGAGAACCTCTTATCTCTGCTCAAGTCACTGAACCCGTTTAAGAAACTGCAATGCTGAGATTTTGGGTACCGCGTGGTTGAGATAAAATGCCTGGAAACAAATTGCAAAAACATTCCAAAGTGTAAAGTGTATATATACCTTTGTGTGTGTGTGTGTGTGTGTGTGTGTGAGAGAGAGAGAGAGAGAGAGAGAGAGAGAGAGAGAGAGAGAGAGAGTTTGGGTTAGCTAGCTGACTGGGAAGGCGGTATCCTGAAGAGCAGGGAATGCAAGAAACACAACGTCCGATCATTGAGTATACCTACAATTCAAAGATTTTCATTTCTTTTCAAAGGGGTAAATCTCTTCGGACAACATGTGAAACAGTGGCACGCTGGACAGAGAATCGGTACTTTTATCACCACCTCCGCCGACCCTCTTTAATCGAGACTACTTTATGAAGACGGCGGCTGCAGACTATTCCCAGGCTAGAGGCTTACCTCGGCAGAAAGGGTCTCCCGCAGAAAGGGCCTCCCCTTCTAATGCAAAGTTCTAGCCGCGAGTCGCGCGTATCTTTGCGTTGTCATTAGATCCACACTGGACTGGCGGAGCAGTCCGTCTGTCAGAAGTTCAGCAAGCTCTTTCCCAGCTGAGTCCCAGGAGCCTTGGACATGATACGAAGGAAGAAGAGCCGTTCCGGGGTTGGCGGGGCAAGGAGGATCCTTGTCTTTGAGTCTCCCGAAGCAGAAAGCGTGAAAAAGAAAAAAAGTGCTGGTCGGCTTTGGTCAGTCAGAGATCTTGCTTCTATCACGGTCCTCTTTGGAGCCTCTGCGCCTTCAACTCCAGTGAAGTTGGATGAAGTCTGAGCCTTCCCCTCCCAGGTCCATCACATTTCAGCAGTTAAGTGGCGTAGAACTCGCAGTCCCCGCCCGCTGTCCCACCCAGAGCTGCACACATTCGAATGTTCGCTGCCTGAGCGTTCCGCCCCGCCTACCCCCCGAACGTTCTGGGGTTGTCAAGTTCGGAGTCCGCCTCCAGCTCCTCCTCCTCCTCCCTTTCCTCGCTAATGGTCCGCTCTGTTTACTTGTGTTTGGATAGCAACTGCATCTTAAAGGCACAGGTCTTCTCGACGTTTTCCTTGTTACATTACCTAAGGTGACTCGGTTAAAAAAAAAAAAATAAACACAACCTTCCTTCCTTCCTTCCCACCCCCC